AAAGCACAGTGCTAGAAAATCACACATGGATAAAAGACCCATTCAAAGGTATAGGATAGGAAAAATAGCATAGGGGGAAACTGAATGCCCGAGTGAGTACAAAAAATACTTTGGTACAAATTTAGGTTTTATATTGCAACTGACTTTAAGAAATCTGACATTTCTTATTCTGGTGTTATATAAAGACTATCCAAAAGGGATATTTAAAATACACATCCCTTTAAGTGTGTATCTGAGAATAGATTTTCTTAACATGCTTGAATCTAAACAATAAATTGCTGGAGATTTAATCACAAGTGGTTCCGAGAAATCCTTTTTTTTTGATCATTTGTATAGTCTTTAGAAATGTAGTAGCTGAAGATATTTTTGGGAAGTAGTATAAAATGGTCTAATTTTAAGATTTATATATAGTTGCCCTAACAGTGTCATAATAATTTCATCAGCTATTTCTCTTCTTGCCATAAAAGAAAAAAATTTCATTTCTTTTCTTTTTTTAAATCAATTTTCATAGCCATGTTGGGGTGGAAGCAACACGACTAGATGCTCATTCTGAAATGGGGAACACTGAAATTCTGGAAAAGGAGACTTCAGAGAGTCTCAGTAACGGCACCAACAGCAATGTGGAAGCAGCCAAAAGACTGGCCAAACGCCTGTACCATCTAGACAGATTCAAAAGATCGGACGTCGCGAAACATCTAGGCAAGAAGTACGTGCTTCCACGTGGCTGTCTGTGGGAACATTTTGTTTTTGGTGTGTTTTAAAAATGATTTCCATTTTAATGAACAAGTCTATTCTGTTTTCTTATAGCAATGAATTCAGCAAACTAGTTGCAGAGGAGTATCTGAAGTTCTTTGATTTTACAGGGATGACTCTGGATCAGTCTCTCAGGTAAGATGAAACGTCACCTCTGTTCTTCATCACCTGCAAATAACAGCTCCTTAGAAGAGAAAGTAGCATGTGCGGATTGGACTCTAGGTTTCTTTTCTTTTCTTCTTTTTTTTCCTGATCCCACTTCCACTTGCTCTATGCATTGTAAATCCTAAACAGAGAGTAAGAAAAATGTAATAAGGATAGATATACAGAAGACTCCAGGCAGAGAGTGAGAAAAATATATTTGTTTTCATTTCATAAACATTAACCAATAGTCTACATCTAGTAGTCAGCTCAAGTCTAGATAGCATAGTAAAGAATGGATTTATGGGGCTAGAGAGATGGCTCAGTGGTTAAGGGCACTGATTGCTCTTGTAGAGGACCCAGGTTCGAATCCCAGCATCTACATGGCAGCTAACAACTGTCTATAACTCCAGTTCCAGGGGAATTTGACACCCTCCTCTGACCTTTGTGGGTATTGCACATGCAGGCAATAATACACTCATACATATAAAAATAAAAATAATAAATAATTTTAGAAGAGTGATGTTAAGCCAAATCGTACAAGAAAAATGTTTCTTGAATGGTTTCTTTCGAGTTTTTTTTATTATAATAAAATACATATAAAGAAAATTTGCCATCCTAACCA